CAATCATGGCGTTCTCAAAAGCTGCAGATCACTGGGCTTCCATGAAAGTCCGAAGAATCAACATTACATAGAAATCACACAGCAGCAGATTCATTTAATCTTCTACATAAATTTGTTAAAAAATAAAGACACATTTTCATCCATGCAAGCCTGTCATTATTGTTTTCTTTATCTTCAGACAAATGCTAATGATATGTAAATTATATGCAAATTAGCCGCCACTCTGAAACATTTTTCTGGGGAGAACACTGAATTGGTAAATAGAGTAAACCAGACTGAGGCCACGATGATGCCACAAAATAAGCGAGGCGAGCACAGCTTCAATTTTCAATGACGCGGAGCTGATGCCACAATGATGCGATGCTGAGGCGACAATGAAGCCGTGCGTAGGCGACAATGATGCCACAAAAGCCAAAGCTTTCGCGAGAACTGTACTGTATGCTGGGTTTACTAAACGCTTGCATATGAAAAAAAGGTAAACAATCTTGTTCTACTAGCAATATCCTGCTTTATGGTCCCGTTGGTGGCGCCATTTCGGCAACACTCGTAATGCCGAAAAAACTCGAAGGTGACGAGAGAGGGGGGCGTGGCCTGGTTTTGGAATATCATTGACTGTTTACCCAATTTATATACCCTTTTCACTTGATTTTTTTTCATAATGTTGTTCATAAATAAATTTTGCACACAAAAGTCAATTGGCCCAATTCAGTTACACTTTAAAAGATACATTAAATATGCTGCCAATACAACTATAAAACAAAATGCAAACTAAATTTAAATAACATAAACAATATCATTATTCTTGATTTACTATAAGGCAATTGAGCTGGTAGTTTTTAAAACAAACTAGATAATTGCTACGTTTACACAGCATCATTTTATCAGAGTGTATACACATTCAATTCGAGCCGCATTTGACCCCAATAAACCCTCGAGGTTAAACTCTGATAGGATTGGGCCCGACATGGCTCCAACCATGTATACGCATTGGGCCCGACATGGCTCCAACCATGTATACGCATTGGGCCCGACATGGCTCCAACCATGTATACGCATTGGGCCCGACATGGCTCCAACCATGTATACGCATTGGGCCCGACATGGCTCCAACCATGTATACGCATTGGGCCCAACTATCGAGCTGAAATCACGCCCTTCAATTGTCAATTTTATTTGAGATATCTGAATCATACCACCAGTGCATTGTCTCAGACTAATGGCCGTTTCTTTTTCTCTCAGCTCAACTGGATAATACTCTGACATGCATCATACCATGCAAAGAAACAAGAACACAAGCACGACACCAAAATCTTTCTCAGCCATGTTGTTTTCATACTAAGGAATTGAGAACGCTGTTCCGTTCGTTAATCTTGTTAATCAGTGGGAGGAGCAGTAGTTCAGCTCCGACAAAATGCTGCCGTGTAAACGTAGTAAATATAATATTTTTTCATCAAAAATCTTTTGCCCCTTATATTAACATTACGGGCAAGGCAATAAAATGTGTGTATTGTTTATGAACATTTCTGTTTCTTCATTGTTAAAGTGTTGTGTAAACCACAGTCCCTCTATCTGATAGAGGGACTGTGCGTAAACCAATGACGCAACTTGTTAGGGTTAGGTTCTGGTGTACATTAAGAACTCTTCACAAAAAAACTTGCACAGGATCTGTCAGGGTACAAGGTTTCGGTAACAGATTTCAATATTTGTACACACATCATTATCATCATCTCAAATTATGGTACCACAACCATGGTAAGTTCGCTGAAGGACGAATAAGAGTCAGACCAGGTATTATGGGCCGTCAACAGTACAGTACTCAGTCACAAACAGTAATCACATCACAGCTCCGTAAACAAAAATGTCGCTTTAAATTTACCACATTGGTACGGAACAAACGGGTGCCAACGATTCGTAATAAACACTGCAATTGTTTCACGACCACCTATAACAGCATGGACAAGGTTCAACTTCCGGGCGAGTATCATTGTGCATGTGATCTGTGGCGGAAAACGATGAGATTGAATGTGATCAATAGAATATGACCATTTTTCATGATTCACTCACCTTGTTTCACGCGGCATGGTTCTTTCTAATCAAGGAAACGTACGTCCGAAAATCGTACCGAAAACAGGCAATCGAGTGAGGGCGCTGTATCCAGAATGATTTCCATCAAATATGCTGATTGGGTAAACACTGCACTAAGTGGAAACATCCAATCATGCAGCCAATCACAAAGCGTGTTTTATTTCTTTACTTTAGCTTTAGCTCCACTATTTACAGACTGTGCATTCGATTATATATTTAATCATAGACCATGTATTTAAGGTCTGTGATTTAGTGCAGGTACATATGCGTAATTGGTATCTCAAGCATCAGATTTGAATATTTTTTTGGAAGAACAAGTTTATTCAGAATTATTAAAAAATTCGCTCTTATGAAAACCGGGTTGGGAAGGATACACTACAATTTTGTTTTCACATTTGTTTCGCCTTCCAAAATAGTTGTATGCACCATCACTCCAAACACCATCATCATCACTGCCTTCAGTGAGTGTAAGCACATCTGTGTGTGGGAGGGAGGGAGGGAGGAGGGTGTTTTGAAGATTTTTTGAGGCAAGGTGAAGAGTAAAAATGATAAAATTTCATATAATCACTCTACTAGTAGAGTGACTGTGATACAATATATAATCTCAAGAACCAATTATTGCAAAAGACCTGATTAGTTGTGGATTAAAATCTGCACATATCAATTACCCTAATGACATAATTAGTCAAGTACTAATTATCACATTTCAATAAAACTTGGTACATAGATGCTCTTTATAAATGTGATGTTTTGGCCATTTTCAGAATAAAGAAACTTAAAAAATGCATAATATGCAAATTTATGTAATTAATATAGAAGGATTTGCACTAACAACTTTTGCACTACACAGTTGGAGCTAAAGACTGCAATGCCTACAATCCCTACAGACAAAGACTGCAATGCCTACAGTCCCTACAGACAAAGACTGCAATGCCTACAGCCCCTACAGACAAAGACTGCAATGCCTACAGCCCCTACAGACAAAGACTGCAATGCCTACAGCCCCTACAGACAAAGACTGCAATGCCTACAGTCCCTACAGACAAAGACTGCAATGCCTACAGCCCCTACAGACAAAGACTGCAATGCCTACAGTCCCTACAGACAAAGACTGCAATGCATACAGCCCCTACAGACAAAGACTGCAATGCCTACAGTCCCTACAGACAAAGACTGCAATGCCTACAGTCCCTACAGACAAAGACTGCAATGCCTACAGTCCCTACAGACAAAGACTGCAATGCCTACAGTCCCTACAGACAAAGACTGCAATGCCTACAGTCCCTACAGACAAAGACTGCAATGCCTACAGTCCCTACAGACAAAAACTGCAATGCCTACAGCCCCTACAGACAAAGACTGCAATGCCTACAGCCCCTACAGACAAAGACTGCAATGCCTACAGCCCCTACAGACAAAGACTGCAATGCCTACAGTCCCCACAGACAAAGACTGCAATGCCTACAGTCCCTACAGACAAAGACTGCAATGCCTACAGTCCCTACAGACAAAGACTGCAATGCCTACAGTCCCTACAGACAAAGACTGCAATGCCTACAGTCCCTACAGACAAAAACTGCAATGCCTACAGCCCCTACAAAGAATGCAATGCCTACAGTCCCTACAAAGACTGCAATGCCTACAGTCCCTACAGACAAAAACTGCAATGCCTACAGCCCCTACAGACAAAGACTGCAATGCCTACAGTCCCTACAGACAAAGACTGCAATGCCTACAGCCCCTACAGACAAAGACTGCAATGCCTACAGCCCCTACAGACAAAGACTACAATGCCTACAGTCCCTACAGACAAAAACTGCAATGCCTACAGTCCCTACAGACAAAGACTGCAATGCCTACAGCCCCTACAGACAAAAACTGCAATGCCTACAGTCCCTACAGACAAAGACTGCAATGCCTACAGACAAAGATACAGCCCCTACAGACAAAAACTGCAATGCCTACAGTCCCTACAGACAAAGACTGCAATGCCTACAGCCCCTACAGACAAAGACTGCAATGCCTACAGCCCCTACAGACAAAAACTGCAATGCCTACAGTCCCTACACAGACAAAGACTGCAATGCCTACAGCCCCTACAGACAAAAACTGTAATGCCTACAGTCCCTACAAAGACTGCAATGCCTACAGCCCCTACAGACAAAGACTGCAATGCCTACAGCCCCTACAAAGACTGCAATGCCTAGTCCCTACAGACAAAGACTGCAATGCCTACAGTCCCTACAGACAAAGACTGCAATGCCTACAGTCCCTACAAAGACTGCAATGCCTACAGACAAAGACTGTAATGCCTACAGTCCCTACAGACAAAGACTGCAATGCCTACAGTCCCTACAAAGACTGCAATGCCTACAGCCCCTACAAAGACTGCAATGCCTACAGTCCCTACAGACAAAGACTGCAATGCCTACAGCCCCTACAGACAAAGACTGCAATGCCTACAGACAAAGACTGCAATGCCTACAGTCCCTACAAAGACTGCAATGCCTACAGCCCCTACAGACAAAGACTGCAATGCCTACAGTCCCTACAAAGACTGCAATGCCTACAGTCCCTACAAAGACTGCAATGCCTACAGTCCCTACAGACAAAGACTGCAATGCCTACAGTCCCTACAGACAAAGACTGCAATGCCTACAGTCCTTACAAAGACTGCAATGCCTACAGTCCCTACAGACAAAGACTGCAATTCCTACAGTCCCTACAGACAAAGACTGCAATGCCTACAGTCCCTACAGACAAAGACTGCAATGCCTACAGCCCCTACAGACAAAAACTGCAATGCCTACAGTCCCTACACAGACAAAGACTGCAATGCCTACAGCCCCTACAGACAAAAACTGTAATGCCTACAGTCCCTACAGACAAAGACTGCAATGCCTACAGCCCCTACAGACAAAGACTGCAATGCCTACAGCCCCTACAAAAACTGCAATGCCTAGTCCCTACAGACAAAGACTGCAATGCCTACAGTCCCTTCAGACTGCAATGCCTACAGTCCCTACAAAGACTGCAATGCCTACAGCCCCTACAGACAAAGACTGCAATGCCTACAGTCCCTACAAAGACTGCAATGCCTACAGTCCCTACAGACAAAGACTGCAATGCCTACAGCCCCTACAGACAAAGACTGCAATGCCTACAGACAAAGACTGCAATGCCTACAGCCCCTACAAAGACTGCAATGCCTACAGCCCCCACAGACAAAGACTGCAATGCCTACAGTCCCTACAGACAAAAACTGCAATGCCTACAGCCCCTACAGACAAAAACTGCAATGCCTACAGCCCCTACAGACAAAGACTGCAATGCAGACAGACTGATTCAAGGGTTTGATATTTTTTAGCTTTGTTCATGACGCATTAGAAATTTCATTATTTACGAAAGTGAAAATTATTTAATAATTAATCTCCCATAACATTAGAGTACAAAACTAACTGTACCCTTCATTTTTGTAATTATAAATTCCAAGGTTAAGTTGAAATCAACAAGTGCAGTGCGTAATGACATTTGAAAAATGTTCCAATGCTCTTCCTCTTAAGTTTCAGTTTGAATTGTAAAGTCTATAAATACTTGGAATGGGTATGTTGTGGCAATAGTATTTCTAGTTGCCTAACTTTAACAGCAGGAGGAGGAAACTTCTAATTCACTTTTCCATAACTGAACATCTCGTTTAGTATAGTAGCAACTCCAACAGCAAGCGCCGGTCGCCGGGCATATCAAGTCCCGACAGCACATTTCCTGTTTGAATATTTCCTAACAGCTGGAAACATTCACTGCTGCCACATTATTGGTGAGAATGTGGCTCAATTAATGAATATGAATGAGATATTAGAAAGTGCAAATGATACTTTGGTCATTCATATTTTGCAACTAGTTCACTTTCTTATTATATACTACATTTATGGGCTTCAGTCTGGGTGATTAGTTTATTTTACTATGAATATAACTATCAAGTCACCTCTTATTTTTTTTTTAAAAAGAGGCTTTTGCTCATTCATGGTACGACAAACTAAACCCAATTGATGAAGAAATAATAATTTCTTGAAGAATACTATGCAACATAAGACAATACACAATTATTGTAATTTAAAAACACTTTATTTCTAGCGTGACTAAATACTTCTTTTTTCTTATCTGCCACCTCTGAAGCCACCTGAAATATATAAAGTAGAAATGTGTAAAGAAATGCAGTGCAAAGCAAATAAACATAATTCAGCAATTTTTCTCAGATATTTTAAAGATTGCTTCACAGAATATGTGAGTCATATGATATCATGACATCACACATTATGTCATCCCAAATTTACATCCCAAACAATTAATATTAAAATAAAAATGACAAATACATTGATAAAATAACAACTCAATGACACAGAGAGACAGACAGACTGGTTACGAATATGTAGAATGCTCATTCTTACCCCTTCCCCTTGGAGTAAATCCCCTTCCTCCTGGAGAGAATCCCCTTCCTCCTCCTCTGCCTCCACCGCCTCGGAAACCACCTCTTCCTCTGAAGCCCCCTCTACCTCTTGGAGTACCTGTAGTAAGAAACCATTTGTTGTAAATTAGTCATTTGAAAATATTACAAAAATTACTTCACCATCTTATCAACTTTTGTAACTTTCCATATAGTAGTCTAGTTTGTTGTACTAAGACCAGTGAAAAATTTGATGGAAATCAATTTAACTTTCCAGGATTTTGATTTTTCTAAAAATTGAATTTGAAGTAAAAAACAAAGCCAAAGCCAATATACAAAACTGGCAAGGTAAATTGGCTGAAAAAACAAAACAAATCAGTCAGGTTGACCATTAGAAGTAGACTGGCGCAGTCGGGGCGATTAATTTGTTTTTGTAGTTTAAATAAAATTAAAAATATCGCGAAATGGAGGTGTTAGCGCGAAATCACCCCAACTGGTTTATTCTGCAGGAAATTCATTGCTATTAAATATTCATGATGCACATATTATAATGAGGTGGACGTGGATATACGTGCATAATGAGGTCAACATGGTAAAGGTCACACTGCAGACCCAACGTGGCGGCACGTTGAAATTTGAGTTTGTCGTAGTCGTCGTTTCTAATTCATCACAATGTGTAAAAAAGTAACTCGTACTAGTCGTAGAACTAAAAAAATATCGGCTGATTGTAGCAGTCTTCTCGGTCAGAGATCAGTTTTGAGGTAGATTTTTTTTTGTTCATGATGTAGTAATTTTTATTGAGTAGGATTATTTTTTTATAAATAGATTAT